TGGTGGCGTGTGCCTGTAATCCCAGCTCATGGGAGGCTGTAAAAAGAGAATTACTATGAGTCTGATCTAGTATTAAGACCCTGAACACCCTGTAGACCCTTCCCTAAAAAAATACAAAAATAAATAAATAAATAAAAATTAAAAAAGGATTTAAAAAAAGAATGAAAAATGGGACAGGGAACTGGAGGAGAAAAAGGAGGGAAGGAGAAGGAGGGAAGAGAATGGGGATTAAACAAAAAGAAACTGGGGCCGAGGAGATGGCTCAGTGAAATAAGCACTTCCCTGGCAAGCGCAAGGGCCTGAGTTCAATTCCTGGTTTGGTCAAAAAAAGAAAAAGAAAAAGAAAAGGGAAACAAGCTGTGGTATGATGTACATGTAACCACTCCCCAAGATGACTGCAAATTGCATGAATTGAAACATGTAGTAATACAATATAAAATAAATTTTAAAAAGAATAAAAGGGAAACATAGCTAAAGATAAAATAAGGGTAATTATTAGAAAATCTGAATAAGTTAGGAGAAGAAAATGATAAAATTCTTTTGAGTGCACTATTAGAATATTTGTTTATTTATTTATTTTTTCTAATTTTTTACTTTTTTATTTTATTTTTTTTTTTTGCGGGACCGGGGATTGAACTCAGGCCCTTGCACTTGCCAGGGAAGTGCTCATTCCACTGAGCCATCTTCCCAGCCCCTTTTTTTGTTTTTTTTAAGGCAAATAAATTATTGTTTTATTGAGGAAATCCAAATATTAGCTCATTTACATAAGTTTTAATTCTTTAAATTTTAATTGATTACTTTTTTTCTCCATAGACATACAACATATTACAACTTTTTTTTTTTTGGTTGTGGTACCAGGGATTGAACACAGGACCTTCAGTTTGCCAGGTAAGCACTTATTCCACTGTGCTATCTCCTTAGCCCACAAAAATTTAATGTTCATATAAATACAAGATTAGAATAAGAAATCAATTAGAAATTCTGGTTTAGAATCATAGTAATGAAGAGGCATTTATATTAAAGGCAATGTTTTTTGAAATATGTGCCAGAAGAGTTCTTGAAGGGAGTAGGTAATGCTGGAGTGACAACTGGTCAAAGTAATCAGAAATGTTGAGGACGCATTGTTCCTCCTGTTCCTGTTTGTGATTTCTTTTTTTAATGTATTTAGTACAGGGTGTGCAGGATCTCACTACGCAGATCTGACTCGTAGTGATCCTCCTGTTTCCAGCCTTCCAAGCACTGTGATTACAGGCATGCACCACCATGCCCAGTCTCAGTCACCCTCTCTGCATGCCATGGGACTGTGGCCAGCATGGCTTGTGGTGCCAGGGATCGAAGCCCATTCCCTGTGCCCTGCCTAAGCAGGCACTTTAGGCTGCTGAGCTGTCTGGCCGGCCCTTCTTGTTTGTGATCTTGCTCTCATTACTTGCTAAGAATGACCAGTATCTTCCTAAATCTCTCAGGTATGGAAATGACAAGGGATGAAGACAATGAAGTCTCATCAGGAAGCACTGTATTTGTATTAGGAGATGGAATTCTTTCTCTTTTGCTTATACTTCTTGGCTATTGTTGTGTCAGGTGGCCACTCCTAGTTGAAGATGGTTAAAGAGAAAAAAAGGCATGGATAAGAGTTGGCTTTTGCTAGCCAGCAGTGTTTGCTGAAAATTCTATGTCTTGGTTAAAAGAGAGAATGACCAAAGCCAGCAGAAGCAAAAACTGAAGTAAAGTGACAAATGTCCTGTGGTCACTGTAGTTTGGGCAGGTGCAAAGTAGGAGTTTTCATCCACTTCCTTCCTCAAATGTAGAGGACTGGGCGACAACCACTCCTCTTACAGCAGTGTATCATCATATCACTACACAGGGGTTTGTTCTAAGTTTTGTTTATCATGTTAATCAATTTACTCTCTGGTATGTTCTGATTCACATTTTCAATCCTGTGTGGCACTCACAGACATTTTGGGCATCTGGTGGTTTTTAAGCAGCCATTTCATTCTTTCTCACCTGTCCCAAGAGAAACAGACTTCATGTAATAGTTCACTCTGTGCTCAAATCAACAAACTTATATTCATACATTTAGAATTCTCAAAGTAGAAAGAGGTAGGCAATAAATATTTAAAGATTTAAAATTTCTGAATTTAGTTGAAATTATAGCACCACATTTCCAAGAAAAACAACTTTTTGCACAAGAAATTTGAATAAAATCATACCATGATACACACAAAAGAAATTGTCCAAAGCTAATTAGAAGACTGATGTGTAAATTCCTTTTTCATTTTTAATTTAGACAATTTTTATTGTTATACTAATTTAAGTTCTAAAATAATTTATTCACAATGTTCTCTATTATTAATCTCGTGCTATGTATTCATTTCAGAAATATTTCTCCAAAATTTACTCTGTCAACATCTTTTTTCCCATAATTTTATTGATAAACAAATAGAAATGAGACAGTTTCAAATCAAATTGGTAGGACAGTTTCAATAATTAACACATTGCATACATTCTTCTTAGTGGTTAATTGCTGTACAAGATGAGGACTTGAGATCCTATTTACAAACATCATTAGAACAAATCACTCTATTCATTAAGAGAATGTAACTATATATCTATCCCATCCACATTGAATACACAGACACAAAATGGACATTGATCTGTATACCCCTTTTTTTCTAAGTTCCGTTATTTGAATATTATAGGTGTATAAACTCAGCAAAATATTCTAAAAGAGTCCAGTAGCCCATAATAGTATTGGGTCTTCCACTTGACTGGCAATGTCAGAAATTGTTGACCTGAGTTCCCTACAGCTCAACATAACAGCATGGCTTTACTTCTTATACTTCATTCTTATACTTTTCTGCTGGATGGTTAAGACCAAGGTAAAGCAGGACCTATGCAACAAGAGTTGTAGCTTTTTGGTCTGAGAAGGTCAATGAAATCCCCTCAGGATTTATCCTGAGATCCTGTACCTCAGATTGTAGATCCTTTGTCAGTGTCAGCCATGTGGTATTAGAATATTTGAATGAGTAGACAAAACTCAAGTGTAGTTGGAGAGTCTTGTGTGTGGTGGCCAGAGTAGAAATATAGATATGATCATAAAATCACCTGAGTCCCAGTGAACCTCACAAGTACAATGAGGTGAACTCTGCTGTTCTAGACTTGCTGTTATGTACAGTGGCTCACTGGGGTCAAAACAGGTGTAGTGAGAACCATGCTACAGGTGATCCAGAAGATAGCTGGAATACAGAGAAGAGCCCAGTAGCCCAGGGAATCATGCATGGCTTCTGTCTTAGTTACTCTTGTCTCATTGCTGGGAAAAATACCCGACACTCAAAATGAAGGAGGGAGAGGTTTATTTAGCTCACAGTTACTGAAGATTTCAGTCCATATTCAGTTGGCTCCAAGGCAGAGTGGCACATAGCAAAAAGCAACATTTCATGGTGGGAGGCAAAGAGCAAGAGCTCAAGGAAGTAGCAGCAGCTCAAGCAGCTAGCTTCTCTTTCCTCCTTACATTGTAATGCAAATTACCTTCCCCAGGGCAGATGCAGCATCCGCACCCACAATAATCAATCAGAAACTCCAGAAGCAGGCCCAAGACTGCATGAGGCGTTGGGGGGACACCTAGACACAAACCATAACAGCTTCTCATAGCGGATAATGTGTGGGCAATAGGACTACTATACTTAGCAACAGGGAACTCAGGGGAAGAGATCAGAGCTCCAACCAGCATGAAACCTACATTGCCTACTGTTATTGCAAGAGGAGTTAGGAGGCCTGAGAAGAGCATACAATTTCCAAGTGGAAAGCCCTGAGCTGTGATGGAGAGGTCTCACCTTCCACTGAATCTCCCTGGGGTGCTCAGAATTGTCACTGACCAACGCACTTGGGGGATGTGACAAAGCTGTTTATTGCTTATTCCAGTAAAGGTGAACACCATCTGGCAAAGCTTTAACAGTATGTTGGGGAGGAACTTGAGATACAGAAGTTTGAGATAAATTTGAGATATTGGGGGGTGTTTCAATGTGGTAAGATATAATTGGAATTGGTCAAAAATCAGGATGTCCACGGTATAGCAACAGTGGAATCCGTAAGGGGAGGCTTTTAAAAAAAAATTAAGGTATGTAATTTTTTTTCCAGTTTTTAAAATTAGTACAAATTTGTAATGTGTGATGATTCTATAAGGGAGGATTTCAAGGGGAGGGATTCCAAGAATTTTAGAGTTTAAGCTGTTGAATGCCTTTTGAAGTAGACACTATTAATATCTTTACTTTCTAGATTAGAAGACTGAGGCCCCAGAGGTAACAATTAGTTCACAGTATTTTGACCACAAATATATGGGTTTTTTTTTTTTCAGAACCAGGGATTGAACTCAGGTCCTTGAGCTTGCCAGGGAAGCGCTTATTCCACTGAGCCATTTCCCCGGCCCTTACAAATATATGTTTTAAGGACCATCAAAAAAGAGACTAGTTAAACTTCCTTATTCTGTTTTGTTATTTGCATAAGCGTGCTAGGATTCAGGTTCAAAATTCGCGGGCCTGTCACTCTAGGGGTTCTCTTCCCTCTGGGGAGAAAGGAAAAAATGGTACAAACCTAAGGCCTCCACTAACTTTAGTTCGGATTGGTGTCATCCGCGCATAAATTTCCACCACAGAGAGGCCAAGATTGCAGCGTGGGCCCTCACACTGATGGCAGGACCTTGCCTTTGTGGTCTCCACTTGGGTTGGGGTGGGTCGGCTCCGCTTGACGCGGGTCGACTCATCTCAGTTCCGGCTCCACTCGGGTCGGCTGGAGTCTAATCGGCTCGGCTCGGCTCGGCTCGGCTCAATTACGGCCTAGGGCACGGGCGCTTCCAGTGTCCTGCCACCAGGGGGCAGTACTGCACAGTGGCATATTCCGCGAGAGGCGGCTGACCCGTGATTTATGAGGGCAGGGTCGTTTTTCAGGCGGGGGAGCCTCAGATCGCTGAGACCAGGAAGCGCCCAGGCGCATGCCCAGCTGGCTCGGGCTGCTTTCCTTCCTCCACCGCCCGCGCTCACAGCCGGGTTGGAGGCTGAGGCCGGATCCGCGAAAGTGACTGAATCTGGGCTCAGGCGCGTGAGTTTCCTGGTCACCAGGAGGCCCCGGGAGGAGACGGCTCACAGGGCTCTGTGGCAGGTTTTTGCCCTTCCTGCAAAACAAGGCAACAGGGCCTTTGTCTCGGCCTTTTGCACCTCGGAGAGGTGTGCTTAGGACCCCGCGCCCCCGCCGCCCTCCTGAACACTGTGCTGCCCTGCAGGCCCACGGGAGGGGATTAGGGCGTGGGCTTTGCACTTTGGTTTAGCTGGCTTTACATCCTTGCCCAACAAGCATTAAGTGAAGTGTCCAGTGGTCCCTCGCCCCCTTAAATCAGTCTTTCAGCCAGGCACCATTTTCACAGCTATGCCATAACAGGAAAATTGTGCAGGCTCTGGATAGGGTCCAAGAGGTGAATTTGAAATCTAGCTGCAGCTCTTGCTTGGCAGAGGGGATTCAGGCTCACAGAATGGCAGAGGGGCCAGGGAGCGTGCAGATACAGGCATAGCACCCACAGGAAAACGCAGGGAACCTCAGGACATCTGTGAGCTTCAGAGAGATGTTGGCTTCCATGTTTCTAGCAGCGCAGCTTCAAGCCTCACCCAACAGAAGTGCCTCCAAACCTCCTTTCACTACAGTTCTTCAGAGCGTTAGTTTCTCTGGAGTAGGGAGGTGGGGTGAGTTAGAGATAAACTGAATAATGTAATAGATCACCGGGCATGGTGGTTTGTGCCTGTAATCCAAGTAGTAGGGAGGCTGAGGCAGTAAGATCTCTGTGTTTGAGACCAGCCTGGGCTACATAGTGAGTTCAAGGCCAACTTGAACTGTGTAGTAAAACTCTGTCTCAAAAGAAAGAACGAAGCCAAAACAAAAGTAATAGATTAATGGATTTTTTTCAGATTTATGGTTTATTTACATACATTAAAGTTCACCCATTCAAGTGTAGTTATTTTTAATACATTTATGGAGCTCTAGAGCCATCACTCCAATCCAGTTTTAGAACATTTCTATCATTCCCAACCCCAAATTCTCTTAAATCTAGTTGCAGTTGGCTATGGTTGATGAACCATGTGAACTTGAGGAGTCTAGCAGCTTACATGAGTAACTCGGCAGTTCCACATCCTGGGGTAAAAAGGACATGCCTTTACTGCTCCAGGGTGGTGTTCACTGTGCAAATTAGAGAAATTCAAAAGTTCAGCTACGTGATTCAGCAGGGAGCTAGGGTCTATGAGTGCTACAGCACCCCCGTATGTGGGGTTAGCCTGCTTATAGTACAAGGAGGAAAATAGACTTGTTCTCCTCTCTTTTTGCTCTTGCTGTTTTTGCTGTCTTCTGCCGCCTTGAACTGTTGGCCCCTGCACCATGCTGCCCTGCCGTGGAGCCAACTGATTAGGACTGAAACCTCCCCAAACTGTGAGCTAAATAAACCTTTCCTTCCTTAATTCTGGGTGTCAGGTATTTTATCCCAGCAAAGAGAGAAAAGTAACTAAGACACAGTTAATTGCCCCCTCAGCTTTTGCCCTAAGCACATGCTTTTCTGCCTTCTGTCTAAGTAGATGCCTTTCTTGGACATTGTTTAAGGAATGAACGCATCCAGCATATGGCCTTTTGGATCTGGCTTATATCACATAACTGGGAGTTTTCAAGGTTCATTTTTTTTTCCGGAACCAGGGATTGAACTCTTAGACACTTGAGCTTGCCAGGGAAGCTCTTATTCTACTGAGCCATCTCCCTGGCCCCAAGGTTCATCCTTTATCAAAACGGCATTCATTTTCTGGCTAAGCAGGATTGCATTATATGGATATACCAAATTTGTTTTTCCATTCATCAACTGATACACATTGGAATTCCACTTTTGCTTATGTATGATTCTACGTGCAGGTACAAGTTTTTGTGTGAACATGTTTTCAGTTCTCTACCTGAGAGTAGAATTGCTGGATCATATGATAACTGTATATTTAACTTTTTCTTTGAGACAGAGTGTCACTATGCAGTTCAGCTGACCTTGAACTCACACTGTAGCCCAGGCTGGCCTCAAACTCATGGTGATTCTTGCCCCAGCCTCCTGAGCCCTGGGATTATAGGTTTGCACCACCATGGCCAGCTCTATTTAACTTTTTAAAGAAATTACAAAATGTTTTATGAAGTGACTGCACTGTTTTTATTCCCACTAATAAGTGAGCATTCAAATTTCTCCTCATCCTCACAAACAATTTTTTATTGTGTATGGGGAAAGGGAGATCTGGGATTAAATCCAAGGTCTTCACCCTGAACCTCCCCCTGCCATTAATTTTATTTTTATTTGGGAGAGGGGTCTTGCTAAGGCACTAAGTTGCCCAAGCTGGATTTGAACTTGTGATCCTCCTGCCTTAGCTTCTCAGAGTTTTGGTATTATAGGTATACACCACCATGCCTGACTTTTGTCTGTATTTTTTGGCAGAACCATGGATTCAACTCAGGCCCTTGTGCTTGCCAGGGAAGTGCTTATTCTACTGAGCCATCTCCCTGGCCCCTTGTCTGTATTTTTAAAACTTACTTTTTCACTTCTTTGGTACAGTGTCTTACTATGCAGGTCAGACTCATACTGATCTTCCTCTCAGCCTCCCCAGTGCTGGGATTACAGGTCTGTGCCACCATGCCTGGTTTGGGGGCTGGCATTGCATGCCTGGGATACTGGGGCAGGCATGGCATGCATTACTGGGGATCAAACCCAGGTCCTTGCACTTGCCAGGCAGGCACTTAGACTGCCACGCTGTCTCCCATCTTTTTTCTGTGTTTTTGATCAGGGTTTGATTGTGATGTTCATTTACCTGAACTATGATTTTTGGTTGTATTTGTTTTATCTAGTTGTACCCACTTAGAAAGAGTGCTTTTTGAATGCTACGAAAATTAGAAAATGAAATGAATATAGATGATCTCTCCCTGCAGAGAGCGCAAGTCTCCTCCAGGAGCTGGAGAAACAGTTCCTTATGGTGGAGGGTAAAGTGAGGACTCGGATAGGGTGAAGCAATCGGGGTGCTATGGGGAACAGAGCAGAGATGCTTAACCCCACTGGGGAGCAGGGCTGGAGGAGAGCATCGAGAAGCCTTTTCTAGAAAGTGTCCCCATATGCCTGTTTTTATTTTCTCAGAATTATCCTTTTCCATAGTTTTAAAAGTCAAATCTACAAGATTTGTTTTTTATTTAAAGGAATCTCATTTTTTTCTCCCCATACTTCATGTCCCCAAGTCAATGGCTTTTTTTTTTTTTTTTTAAAAAACTTTTTATTTTTTTTTTTTTTTTTTTTTTTTTTCCGGAACCGGGGATTGAACTCAGACCCTTGCGCTTGCCAAGGAAGCGCTTATTCCACTGAGCCAGCTCCCCGGCCTCCCCCTTTCTATTCTTCTAACACTTTGGATATTTAACTTTTGTATCATTAAATATATTTTTATTTGAGGCATAAATATAATATATATTAAATGTATTTTTATTTGAGAGAGAAAAACTCAGTCATGGCATAGGACAATCGCCAGTCTCACATTCACTGATTTTTAAATTGACCATCCCCGTTAAATATTAACATGGTTAATTTTAAAAGCCACTGTCACAGTGCAGCTACCTTCTATCTATCCACATGAAAGAACACAGGCTTGCTCAGCAGTTAGGTACCAAGAGCAGTAAGACAGTATATACCTTTCAAAGGAGTAGCTAGAGAATTTTTTCCTCATTGGTACTTTAAGTTCACACATCTTCCATAAGCCAGCATGCAAATGCAACTGTTAAGAGGAATTTCATTTTTTAAGGTAGAAAACAAAGCCACAGACCAGTAGCATGTCGTAGTACTGCGGTTGGTGCACTATGACCTGTGAGCTAAGAATTGTTTCTTTCTGATCAAGACTTAAAATCGGTTCATTAATAGAGCACAGTAACTTTCAGTCTCAGTAAGCAATACGGTACCCTTCCTTTCTTTGGTAGACTTGTTTTACATAATTTTGTGGTCAATAATGATTATATTTTAAATTTCATTAATAAAATTTTGGGTAAAAGTTTGCTGACTACTGATTTAATAGAATAAAAAGGGGAACAGAAAGCATTTGACATATACTTAGGCTGTGCCAGTTTGCACAAACCTGTAATTCCAGCAGTCAGGAGGCTGAGGCAGGAGGATCTTTGCGAATTTGAGGCCAGTCTGGGTTACAAAGTGAGCTCAAGGCCAGCCTGAACTGCATAGCGAGACCCTGTCTGAGAAAGACAAAACAATTTGCTATGTAACCTTGGGAAATTGCTTCACTTCTCTGTTTTTTTTTAATTTTCATTATTGGTAAAATGAAGATAATAGGTTATGTATCAATGAGATAAGCGCTAACCTTACTGTCCAATTTTTTTATTGAGTATACAAATTTATTTGAGTTATTATTACATACTAAGAACTTTTAAAGGGATTGGGGATATAGCAGCAAATGAAATACTGTTCTGGAAAAGAATATAAGCCTAAATGAAAAGGGATTTCCGATGCAATATGTGGTTTGAGATTTGATCCTGATTTGAGCAAACTATAGAACATTTTTTGAAATTGGAATATGGGTGGGTATTAGATAAGTTGCAAATTTACATGAAATAGAGAAGGTTGTTTACTAAGGAGCCTTTATGAAATGTTGCAAACACTATCATATCATTTTGATAGAAATGCATATCCATATTATGAATTCTTAGCAAAATCTAGAAGGATATAGACTAAACTGTCAATAGTGATGATTAATGTGCAGGAGGAATATGTTTATGTGGACTCTTCTAAGTTTTTGACAGTGAATGTATACTGTTTTTGTACAAAAGAAAAGTTATAATTAAAAAATCTCTATTCATGGGACTTACATACCAGTGCTCCTTGGAATTATTCATATTACTAAATCTGTCACTTTTTCCTCAGGAATATGTGTAAGAATGGAGAGAAATCCCTCCTTCACTACCCTGTGCAGGTAATGAAGTAGCAGGGAGCTCTATGAAGTCGCTGCAGAGTATGGAGGGAGGGATGTTGCCGCCTATTCCTTTGTGATGTTCTTGCTAAGTAGAGCTTCCTTATACTGGGGCTTTCAACTGGTGTGGGATTTTGTGGGTTAGTCAGCCATTAAAAAAGATGGATCTTAGGGGCAAAGGTTACCAGTGTCCCTCTACACACCATTCAGGAAAGAGAGCCCTGCCTAACAACTGTGTGATCTGATACTGAAGGTACTTTTTTGTTGTTGCCTTGGTAAACATCAGACTAGTAAAACTTGGTGCAGTTAAACATTTGTAACATGTAGCTCCACCTTTCATTTATTATAGAACAGGGTGCACCAACTACAGCCTGTGGATCAAGTCTAGCCCACCATCTTTTTTTTGTCAATCAAATTTTATTGGGATACAGAGCCACTTGTTTGCGTATTTTCTGTCATTGCTTTGTTCCATGATGGCAACATTTAATTATGACAGAAGTGGTCTGTAACTCATAAAGCCATTTAATTATGAGCCTTTTAAGGAAAATGTTTGCAGACCCTTGTTTTAGTCTCAGCAGAAAACTCTCAGTAGGTGTCCTTATGTGGAAAGGTCATTTATGATGCTATTAACAAAGTGATATGGATTTATAAACTTCATTCTTTACTGAACTGTATTGGCATGTGTCAGGATTTGTAATTTCAGATGACTTTGCATTGAATTTCTTATCCTGAAAAGCTAAAGGGAAGGCCAGACCATGAGAAATCAGAGAAATTAAGGTAAGTGCTACCCTATAAGTCTTATTAATGTAGAGGAATGAAACTCCCAACCTGAAAGATACCTGGGCCAAGTTTGTGCTCTCTAAAACCTAAGAATGAATTTTAGGAACAACGGAGGTTAAAAGTAGAATATATTTACTGGGGGAAAGAAAGCTCCTGTTCGAGAGAAGGACACAAGGGGACCTGACTGGGTTGCCTAGGAACCGGCATTTTCTAGGCATTTTCATAGAGCAAAACCATGAGGGGAGGTGGATGCAAGGTGGGAAACACAGGACCTTACTAGATGGACATGAAGTGGGACAAAACTATGGCCCACCAATGAGATAACAAGTAGAATTACTCAGGTCAAATTGATTAAATCCAGGACCAAATGGGAAAGTGAGTCATGTAGCAAGCAGGTGTGAATACAGAACAGGGGCTTTTCCTGTAGGGGGCTGGTTTAGTGACTTCCTGGCTTCCTCAAGGTGACAGACCTATTTAGAATATCACTCCTAGATGTTTATCTTTAGGGAGGTATGCATTTCTTTGATCTTTTATCTTGAGGTTTGGCCCACAGCTGGAGTGTCTGTCTCTCCAACAGTTGTGAGCTATCTGACCTTCCCTAGGTCTGACTGCTTTTATAATGTTTTTAGCTAACTAATCTGCCTATGACATTATCAATACATAGCTAGTAGGAATTACAGTCATCTAGCTAAGATGTACTTATGCTTCTGATTTGTTTCAAGTGTCACCTTCTTTTGGAAGCCTCCTCTGATTCTCCCTTGATTTCAATTTCTGTGACTGCATTTCCACTCCATGCTTTGCAGACCTCTATCATGATACTTAAGCTGCTTCATGGTAAGTCTTGGAGTTACTCCTTTCTTTCCACTAAAGAGGGAAGAAGCACAGTCATGTGTTCCTTGGTATGTTGACTACGCCTAACATATGGCATCTTACTAGCTTTGTATGCTGGGTGATGCCAGTTCTCTGAACCTGAGTTTTTTCATCTGTCAATCAGGGAAGGAAATAATAGCAGCTATGTAATCCAGTTTTTGTGAAGATTAGATGAGTGTCTTGGTTGCTTTTCTTGTTGCTGAGACCAAATACCCAACACCCGAAGTTAAAGAAGGAAAGGTTGATTTAGCTCACAGTTACTGGAGGTTTCACTTCATAGTTGGCTGACTCCAAGGCAGGGTGGCGTGGCAGGGAGGCATCATAGAGGAAAAACAGTTCATAGCAAAGCAGGGCAGGCAGAAGGCAGCAAACCGAAAACAAAGTAGCCGCAAGTGACAAGCAACCAGCAGCATGAAGCTCTTTCCCTTACATTTTATCCTTAGGGTGGGTAGCACTCACATCCTTAATCCTAGGACTGGTGAATCAATACCAGCAGCATACAGCCTAGATCCAGCCAGCTCCAAAATGCCTGACCTATGTTCGCATGAGGCTTTGAGGGGACATCCACATACAAGGCATAGCAACGAGATCATACTAGGTATTCAGTGAATACTTGTTAAATGAATGAATGAATGAATGAATTACAAATACGGAGTTATGTGAATTGTATTGTGAATTAGGAAAGTCCACATAAGCAGTACCTAAAGTAATGTACACAGGTTTTGTTTGCTCTATTTAAACCAGTATTATACTTTTCTTACTTTGCCTACCCAGACTGGAGCATCATTCACTTATTCTTTCTTTCTTTTGTTTGTGTTGCAGATTGAACCAAGGGTTTGACTCATTCTAAGCACACAGTATACCACTAAGTTGTACATCCCCATACTATCATTAATTTATTTCAAATGAATGAGTTATTAAGTGCTACTTCTGCACTATGCTTGATGTTAGAGTTCTAACAGGCTTTACTCAATCTATACCATCCTGGGATTTTAATTCTAGTGGGAAAATGGGTCAATAAATAAGTACACTACTTTGTAAGAATATATTATAGACTGTGATAAATAATGAAATAAGTAGGCTTAGGTTGGAGTAATTGAAGATTATTACATAACTAGAAATCAGGGACAGATTCTTTGAAGTGATAACTTTCACTATGAAATTGGACGAATGTGCCAACCATGAAAAGAGCTGGGGAAAGAATATTTTAGACAGATTATAATAAGTGTGAAAACCCTGAGGACAGGAAGGATCTGGATGTTCAAAGGGTGGATTGAAGATAGAAGGGTAAAGAGGTTAGAGTCATTGTAAGACTAGAGGTAAACCATTTAGTGATTTTAAGAGGGAGAGTGATATGGTCTGTCACCCTGTGGTTTTTAAAAATACAATTTTTAACTAAAAAATTGGAGAGATAAACAGGATAATGTTTTCCAAAAGTGTCCATATCCCAGTCTTCCAGACTTTTGAATATGTTCTGTCACAAAGTGGATGTGATTAAGGATCTTGAAATGGAAGATCACTATGGATTACTCATGTGGGCACACTACCCAAGGGCTCTTATGAAGGGCGGGAGTGGAAGGCCCGTGAGGGAGGAAGGAGACGAGATGACAGAAGCACGGGTTCTAGAGAGGTAGAGATTAGAAATGCTGTGCCACTGCCTAGAGGGTGGAGAAAGGGGACATAAGCCAAGAAGCACAGGCACCTTGATCTTGGGCTTTGAGCCTCCCAAATGGTGAGAAATAAATTTCTATTATTTAAGCCACCATGTATGATATTTTGTTATGGCAGCCTAAGAGATGAATGGACTAAGTAACTTGGGAAAACTGTTTTGACTATATACTATATCGTCCTATGTACTGTATGGTCCTTAACTAACGTCTTGTATCCTGTGTGGTCCTGAAACTAAAGCATATGTCAGAGTTTCCTAGAGGGCCCCTTAGAACTCAGAATGCTGAGCCCTGCCCTAGAAGTTGTCACTCAATAGATCTGGGTTTGGGCCTCATAATTTGCATTTCTAACAAGTTACCAAATTGTGCCTACGTTGCTGCATTAGGGACCACACTTCAGAATTAACAGCTACATACTATACTATAATTCATAGGTTTCTCTTCCCCTGAGCTATGGGTTAATGATTCTGATTCTGTGTCTGTGTCTAATATTGAGCAAATAAGTGACTATATGGTAAATAACGAGAGCCAGGATTTACTCTATCAGAGGCAACAGTTCCACATAAGGAAAGAAAGAAGCCTAGAAAGAGCCTAGTGGTGATCAGAGGTATTAGTGTGCAGACATTGTTTTACTTGTGTACATATATGGGCACCTTTCTATGCCACATTTCCCCAGAGACAGACATAGACCTGGAATTAGACATACGTTGTTTCCTATTTGTATCTGCAGAAAACACTAGAAGTAGTGATGACTCAATACCAAGGAGCCCACCTACTACTCAGATCTTGGCATTTTCAAAAATTCATTTTTTCCATAATTTTATTGAGAAACAAATAGCAATGAGACAGTTTCAAACCAAATTGGTAGGATAGTTTCAATAATTAACACATTGCATACATTCTTCCTAGTGGTTAATTGCTGTACAAGATGCGCACATGATATCCTATTTACAAACATTATTAGAACAAATCCCTCTATTCATTAAGAGAATGTAACTATATATCTATCCTAACCATTTTGAATACACAGATACAAAATGGACATTCATCTGTATCCCCTTTTTTGTTAAGTTCCGTCATTTAAATATTATAGGTGTGTTAACTCAGCAAAATATTCTAAAAGAGTCCAGTAGTCCACAATAGTATTGGGGCTTCCGCTTCACTGGCAACGGCCGTGACTCATCCACATGGCTGACACTGACAAAGGTTCTACAATCGGAGGTACAGGATCTCAGGATAAATCCTGAGGGTATTTCACTGACCATATCAGACCCAAAAGCTACAACTTTTGTTGCACAGGTCCTGCTTTACCTTGGTCTTAACCATCCAGCAGAAAAGTATAAAAATGAAACATAAGAAGTAAAGCCATGCTGTTATGTTGAGCTGTAGGGGACTCAGGTCAACAATTTCTGACATTGCCAAAAATTCATTTATTTTTTTTTCAAAATTTTATTGATAAACAGATAGCAATGAGAAATTCATTTATTTTTGATGCTAGGGATTAAACCTTGGATCTTGCATATGTTAAACATGTACCATATCTTGGCATTAAAAAGTACATTATCAAAATCAAAGTAATTATGGCTCTTTGGAGAGTTTACTGATTTTAGGGCTAGGGCCAGGAGAGTGTAAGTGTCATATGTCTTCTCTTGCTAGAAAGTAAGAGTGCTTATTGAATAATGGAGACAGGTCAAAAAGATACAGGAGTCAATTTGAAGGGGTCTGTAATAGTGATATCTGGGACAGTTTAAGCAACAAAATAAATAATGGTAGTAATGGGTTATTTCCCGCAGAATAAAATAATAATCCATACTAATGTAAAGAAATACCTGAATAAGTGAATGCGGAAGATAGGAAAGTACTTTTTTTTTTTTTTTTTTTTTTGCGGAACCGGGGATTGAACTCAGGTCCTTGTACTTGCCAGGGAAGCGCTTATTCTACTGAGCCATCTCCCCAGTCCCTGGAAAGTACTTTGTACAATACAATTCTAAGTGAACTAATATAGAAAGAATAAGGGTAATAGAAACTTGTCGTTTGACAGTTACTGCAGTAATAATTGTTTCAGGCAAAAATCGTCAATGAATGCTAACATTAGTAGACAAAAGTGTGAATACAAACAGAATAAATAATTTCATAATATCTACCTATAAAATACTTGTTAATTATGAAAGGCCAAGAGAGTAACCATACTCTAGAGACACCTGGAAGATACCACCTTAATCCAGTGATCAAAGTGAGTGTCACTCCTAATAGAACAAAATGACATCACCTGCCTCTTGATACTGTGTGTTGAGAAGGACACAGCATCACATATCTGTAGTATTCTTTTCAGAACACATCATCTAAACTTAATTATGATAACATGCAAAACCCCAAATTGAAACTAGTCAGTATATTTAAAAATGTTATAATAATAAAAAATAATGAAACAGGAAAGACTGAGAACTGTTCTAGATAAAAGAACCTAAGAAGTCAGATGTGACCCTGGACTTAGGAAAGGATATTGGTGAGGCAACTGGAGAAAACTATATGCAAGCAATATATTTGATTATAATATTGCTTGAATATTCACTTATTGATTTGTAACACTGTACTATGGTTTGTAGACTGTTAACATGTAGGGAATCTGGATGAAGAATGGATGCAGATTCTTGGAACTATTTTTGTAACTTTTGGTAAGTCTATAATTACTTCAAAATTAAAAGTGGGAAATAAAATGAGTTGTTTATCAGCCCCACAGAATATTCCTGGGTGATCTGATTGCTGTGTGCAGTGTGTTCTGTGGAAGGGGAAGCGGCAGAGGCCAAGCATTAGAGTGATGCACCATACCAGAGATGGATGATAGGAGCTTGACCTGGAGTGGCGAGGGCAATGGAGATGAGGGCTAGATGGATGCAGAATGCATGTTGACGTTTCAGTGGAAAGGACACTGAAGGGAAAACGGGATGGAAAACAAACATGAAAAAAAGAGCTCTTTAGGTAATACCTTTGTAAAACAGAATAGACCCTAATGCCTATACATGTTTCTGATTAGATAGTATTGATTCAGAACCCGGTATTTTGTAAGCTGGACTGTTTATCATGAAATTTTTCTCCTTCCTCCCCTTCCTTTCTTCCCTCTCCTCTCCTCTCCTCTCCTCTCCTCTGCTCCTCTCACCTCTCCTCTGCTCTCCTCACCTCTGCTCTGCTCTCCTCTCCTCTGCTCTGCTCTCCTCTCCTCTGCTCTGCTCTCCTCTCCTCTGCTCTACTCTCCTCTCCTCTGCTCTCCTCTCCTCTGTTCTGCTCTCCTCTGCTCTGCTCTCCTCTGCTCTGCTCTTCTCTCCTCTGCTCTGCTCTCCTCTGCTCTGCTCTTCCCTCCTCTGCTCTCCTCCCCTCTCCTCCCCTCTGCTCTCCTCACCTCTCCTCTCCTCTGCTGTGCTCTCCTCTCCTCTCCTCTGCTCTCCTCTCCTCTGTTCTGCTCTCTTCTCCTCTGCTCTGCTCTGCTCTCCTCTCCTCTCCTCTGCTCTCCTCTCCTCTGCTCTCCTCTCCTCTGCTCTGCTCTCCTCTGCTCTGCTCTTCTCTCCTCTGCTCTCCTCCCCTCTCCTCCACTCTGCTCTCCTCACCTCTCCTCTCCTCTCCTCTGTTGTGCTCTCCTCTCCTCTACTCTGCTCCACTCTGCTCTCCTCTCCTCTGTTCTGCTCTCTTCTCTGCTCTGCTCTGCTCTCCTCTCCTCTGCTCTCCTCTCCTCTCCTCTCCTCTGCTCTCCTCTCCTCTCCTCTGCTCTGCTCTCCTCTCCTCTCCTCTCCTCTGCTCTCCTCTTCTCTCCTCTCTCCTCTCATCTCCTGTTTTCTCCTCTTTTCTTTCTCTTCTCCTCTGGCTTGCTCTTCTTGTGGGTGGAACCTGGGCCCTTATGCCCACTAGGCAAGTGCTCTGTCACTGAGCTACACCAGCCCTTTTGGTTTTGAGACTCAGGGTCACTAAATTGCTCAGACTGCCCTCAAACTTGTGAGCCTCCCAGCGCATCTTCCTGAAGAGGGATTACAATCTTCTTTATATTTTCTCCCCGAGTTTTTAGGAGTGTTCTTTTCATCTAAGAGGAAAAAAGAAAATTGATTGCCTCTGCTTTTTTCCTGCGTTTACCTCTGCCAAGGCGCTTTCTCTTGGTGATCCCGCTCTTTTTAAGGAGGGATTTCCATTCTTTCACCCGAATTGTGACCTTTCCAAAACTGCACTGGTCGACTTGGAATTCCATGTGCTATACCTTTTCCAACATTTAGCTCTTTATCTAAGCTGTTCTCCTAACAAAATTTTGTCTTTTTTATTTTAAAGAGGGAAAAAACCAAAAGGCAATACTTTTTATCTTGTTCTTTTAAAATTTTGTCTTTTAAGGCTCAGCTGAGGAAGCACCATTCCCTCAGATGCCTGCCAGGATCTACCCAAACTTGAAGCAATCCGCTCTTTCCTAGGTAAGTCATACCTCTTATGTTCCTTCCTTTTATTTGGTCCACATTCACAGATTCGCAGGTGTACTCATTACTTTGTATGGAGTTATATTTATGGCTTATATTCTGTACGGGATTTTAAACTCTTTGAGTATAGATATATGTGGTCATATTTAATGAGGCTTCCCTGTTGTCAGATGCAAAAGAGGTTCAGTAATAAAATAAATAGATAATTATCCCCGTGTTCTTAAAATCTAATGTCTACTTTCCCTTGTTTCTAGTGAGGGCTTTTCCTGTGAAATGTAGTAACTTCCTTTGTCCCCAGTGATTTCCATTGTAGCTTCTAGCAATGTTTCTATTCCATTGTTTTGCTGACTTGTTTCCACCAGGGGGAGCTCCTTACCGCAGATAGGTCAACATCCCTCCTCTTGGGAGGTAAACAAAGGAAACTTCCTCAGATAAAAAGTCCAATAGCAGAAAATCTTGTCAAATAATAAAAATAAATTAGTAGAAAACAGGAACTGAGCATCTCCTGAGATTGAACTTACTCGCAGCACGAGTTGGCTATTCAAATGCCATATCACTTGTCGTATTGTGTTTCTATAGGATTCTGACCCATTTGTCAGAAATTTCTCCCTTCCCAACTACTTTCTTCATTCTGTCTACACATGTACATTGAGGGCACATTTTGTGTCAGGTATGTTTGTAGAGGCTGAGGCTTCCTCTGTGAATAAGACAGCCAGGTCCCTGACCTCATGGAACTTACACTCATGTATGGGCCGCAGTCAATGGGTCAGATAAGTGAATAAAACACTGTCTGTTATACAGGGATCGATGCAAAAGAGAAAAAAAATTCAGAGTGCAATAGATCATTATAAGAACTTTCCTTACTTGGAGAGAAATGAGAAGTATTGAGGAATTTTTATTATAAAGGGGTGGTGTGGTGGGACTTATATTTTATAAAAGGTTTGCTTTGGAGGAGAGACTGATAGAAAAGAGAAAGGGGATTAAGGAAGGTGAAAGAGATGGGTATAACTGAAGAGAATAATTAAAGTTATATACATATATAAAAATGTTAAAATGAAATCCACTAGCCTATATAACTGTTATGTACTAATAGAAAATAAAAAGAATTCCTAAATAACTTTTACTTTAAAAAGATCACTTTATTTTTTATTTTTTAATTCTTTTTATTGAGAAACAAAAAGCAATGAAACAGTTTCAAAACCGATTAGTAGGACAGTTTCAATCATTAATACATCGCATATTGTCTTCATAGTGGTTATTTATAGTACAAGATGCAGACATGATTTCCTGTCCAAACACTATTAGTACGAATCTTTCTTCTCATTGAATTAAGAGGAAGTAGCTGTATATCTATCCTAACTATTTTGTATATACAGATACAAAATGGCCCTTCATTTGTATCCCCTTTTTGTTTAATTTTGTCAGAGATGGGTATTCCATTGCCATTTAAATATTGTAGGTGTGTGAATTCAACTAAATAATCCAATATAGCCCAGTAGTCCATAATAGTAGTGGGTTATCTGTAGGACTGGCAGTGTCAGAAGTTGTTGACTTGAGCCTTTTACAACTCAGCATATTAATATGGCTTTACTTTTTATACCTCGTTTTTATGCTTTTCTGTTGGATGGTGAAGGCCAAGATAAACCAAGACCTATATAACAAGAAATATAACTTTTGTATCTGACAAGATCAGTCAAATTCCCTCAGAATTTATCTTGAAACCTTGTACTGCCCTTTGTAGATCCTTTGTGTCAGCCATATGGATGAATCATGGCCATTGCTTGACCAATTTCCTCTTTGTAAAAGCCTGAGAGAATATTTTCTCTCCATGTGACTTTCCTTAGGCACACTCTACGTCATTGATCACTTTCCTCTTTGTCACCATAATCTCCTTGATCAGAAAATTTGGGACACAACTGAGTTACAGGATGTTACAGTACAGGTTCTCTTAGGTTATGAGTCCTCACTGATCTTGAAAAGCTAGGGCCAAAATGTTGGCTGTCCTTGCAGCCCTTCCTTTCCTCTAATTTTTGGATCACTTTAATTGTATTGTGGAAAGCAAACACTGGCCTGGGCCAGGATGGTTGAAATCAAATTGAGAAAAAGATACTAGGTTTGGGGATATATTTTGAACGCAGATTCAATTGGATATGCTAATAGAGAAGATATAGGAAAAGAGGGGAATCAAGGAAGGTAGGACCACTATGTTGTACAACAACAGTAATATTGATTACAATGTGCCTGGTGCCTCCTGTAGTTAAATAATACAGCATTTCTGCCAAGATAATGCTACCAGTTCTAGTCTTGAGAATAGAAGAGTGGAGTTGCCACTAGCTTCTCAGAGTAGAGTACCTGCCTAGTATTCAGGAGGGAGGGCTTAGATTCCATCCAGCTCCAGTACAACAAGAATAACAAACAAACAAAAAATCTTCTGCTTGGCCAAGGTGCTGAGGGTCACAAATTCTTGATAGAATTTAGCAACATAGAGTTCACTAGTGGCCTTGACAAAAGCTGTTTCTGTGAACAAAAGCATGATTAGAATGTTTCAGGAGGAAAAGTGATGAGAAAAATTATGGACAGTGTACTCAGACAAATTTTTTGAAGAGTTTTGCTGAATACAGAGTGAAAGGATAAGGTAATAACTGAAATGGTGTATGAGGCCGAGAAGGATGTTGAGAATGGGGTTGCTCTCACGGAGTTTGCTCCATGAGTACTCACTGGAAATTGGAGTTCACTTGGCCTTTTTCACATGCATTTCTTGGGGTAGTACCCAGGCATCTGTAGGGACGCTGAATGTCACAGGAGGGGCTATACATTGTATCTGAGTAGAATGGACTGTAAAGAAACCCATGGATATTCTTTAATAAAACTGAACCCAGAAACTCTGCAAAAGAGAGGGTATCTCCTTGTGTGGAAGAAACCGGGCCAGCGAGGCCCAACTATCTGCCTCACTCACAGGGTGATTCCAGCCCCTTGGTCCACTTTGAAGGGTCTGGCCTCTGTTATACTAAAGACAGACTGTGTGTCTCCTTCTAAAAACACTAGCCATTGTACGGAAGGGAGAGGAAAACAAATTCTTACGGGTACTATGAGTATGATTAAACCTTATCTAGAGTTTGGACCAACTAGGGAAAGTGGCATAAAAATTCAGGCTATGGTTCCACTCATGATTTCTGTGGTAGAAGGGAGTATAGTGCTAGTTTGCTTCTTAGCTCTATGTTTACTAGTGATAGCTTTGAAAACACAGAGAAGTTTTGTGGTCTCCATGTAGTGTTTCTCTCTCTCTCTCTCTCTCTCTCTCTCTCTCTCCCTCCCTCCCTCTCTGTGTGTGTGTGTTTTGAGACAGGATCACACTATGCAGTTTAGGCTGGCCTCTCAGTAGTCCAGGCTGGCCTCAAAACTTGCTGTGATCTTCCTGACTCAGCTTCCCAAGCGCTAAGATTATAGGTGTGTACTCCCATGCTCTGCAATGTTTTTATATGATTTTCTTTCCCATTCTCATGTCTTCAAGGCCCAGCTCATGTGTCATCTGCTCTGTGAGCCATCAGTAAGTCCTCTCTCAGGCAAAATGAATCATTTCCTCTCTGTAGCTCATTGTGTTTTCGCTTGTTCCTTCCCAGACCATATCACATTATGTTCGAGTGCTGTGTGGTTGAGAACAAAACAATGCAGTGGAATGGATAAGAATATGGGCTCTGGAGTAGGCTGCCATTATGGTTGGGATCTTAAATGTCCCCCAAAGGCTCATATGCTAAAGCCATAGTGCCAGTCTGTAGCACTACTGGGAGGCTGTGGACCCTTTAGGAGGTAGAGCCTGGTTACAAGAAGTTAGATCACTGAGCACCCTGGAAGGGAGTGGCAGAACACTGACTGTTCTTCTCTCTGCCTTTGCTTCCTTTCATGAGGAAACTCTTCTACCACACCCACCCTCTCATGATGTACTGTTCCACCATGTGATGGGCTAAGTGACCATGGACTGAAACCTCTGCAACTGTGAGACAAGAGAGAGCATTCCTTCTTTATAAGTTGTTTAGTTCAGGTATTTGATCACACTAATAGAGAGTTGGCTGACACGCTGTATTCAAGTCATGCCTCTTGAAAGTTTCATAATCTCCCCATTCCTTGGTTTCTCATTTGTCTCATGTCAGTTTAATAATAATAACATCACTGGGATTTTATAAGGGAGATTGTGTGAAGATGATAGAAATTAATACATGTAAAGCACTTGCAACAGTGCCCAGCACATAGTACGCACTCAGTAAGCTTTGATTGTTTGTCTCTCTTTCTTCCTCGAATGCCTTCAGGGCACTTTTGGCCAGCTGGAGAGTTGTGAGGTTCGAACTCCAGGAACCTGAGGCTGACAGCTTTGTGGAAGCAGCCACTTAAAGGACTGAGCTAGGGCCAGGCCCCCTTGTTTGTCTCTCTTTTGCTTGGGAAATAAGACCATATTTTTATCTTTGTACCATTAATGCTTAGTACTGGGCTTGGTGTAGAGTACTAGTTGCTTAATCAATTTGTATGAAAATAAGCCAGGTCCTAAATTAGACCAATTTAAGTTCTTGTTTAATAGTTATATATGTGTGTAAGCCCTTCCATTTATTCCTGTGTACCATTCTGTATTGGTCAAGAATGAAGTTTACAGAGCCTAATTGCCTACTTTGTAGCCATGTTTCATCATATATATTAGTTGGATGATGGTAGGCATGATAGTTAACCTCAGTGCTCTCACCTTCTTCACTTGGAAAATGAGCAAAAACACGCAGTTAAGCACAGAGTTGCTAAGCACTTGAATGTTAATGGTAAGTGTTGTTAAGATTATCACCAATAAATGACTTAATGACCAGCTACAATGTTCCAGGGACTGTGCTAGCCAATAAGGAGAGAGAGAGAGAGAGAGAGAGAGAGAGAGAGAGAGAGAGAGAGAGAGATGGAAGAGTCTCAGTCTGTGCTCTCAGAAAACACCTCAGCTTGTGATGGGTCAGTATCTATGGAGTCTA